TGGGTTCTAAGCCACCATGCCTTACTTCCAACCACAGAACAGTCCCTCCTGTAGTCCCTGCCCTGAATCCAACCCCTTCCCAGGCCTCAGGGACTGCCTCTTCCAGGAAGTCTTCCCAGAACTCAGGGAGCCTCCACTCAGTGGGACTCTCCTCTCCTACATTCAGGGGGCAGATTGAGCACCTAAAACCCACAGTGCCTCCACCCTCAGACTAGGGCTCCTGGGAGTGGAGGCTCCATCCCCCCTCAGATGGGGACTCCCTGAAGTCAGGGCTGTGTCCCCCTCAGACAAGCATCCTGACGGCATGGTTAGGCCCCCCACTCCCCTAAGACTAGGGCTCCCTGAGGACAGGGTCATCACGCTCTCCTTCCTTCAGACTAGAAAGTCATGGGGGCAAGATTCTTACCCCCTCCTCCTGCCCTCCACCCACACAGCCCCCCAACCTGGGGTACAAGACTCTGCCCCCAGACCACAAAAACAGGACCCCAGACCGTGCCCAGCCCCCTCCTCTCCTCCTGGAGGTCCTCCAGGCCTAGTCCGTACCAGGCAGGCTACCCTGCCCCCCAGGCCTGGCCATGAATCCCACCTCTGTTGGGCACCACAGACCCCCCTTTCTCCTCCCCAAACAAATGGGGTCTTGAGCGAGACACTGGAACAACCACGCACAACGCCAGATCTATTCCCTGGCCTCGCGTGGCTGCCAGCAGTGGGGGGGCAGGGGGGTGGGGAGGCATCCAGGCTGGGGAAAGCAATCTATTCATTCCACAGCCCCTCGAGGTCCAGCCTCTAAAATTGGGGCCACTCTGAACTCCATCCTGGGACCCACAGCCCGCTCCCTGGGTAACCCCAGAGCACACCCATCCCAGGAGCCTCACTGTTCCCTCCTCTCTCCGGTCACACGCAGGCAGAGCCTCTGAGCCTAGGTCCAATCCCTGCTCTGTTCTCTACACAGGATTTCCCCAAACCTGAGTATGGCATTTGCCAAAAGGCTTTAATAACCCCTACTCTGCAGGGGCCGCTGTGACTGTGAAGGGGTTAAGGAAGGGAATGTCCCTAGCACATAGTGGATACTGTTACAATCAGTTTCCTTCTCCTCTTTGATCTCTCTTTCTTTCTTTGGGGGGGATGGAGGGGGCTAGCAGGGCAGAAAATGGCTTGTCCCAAGCACTTAAAATGTCCCCTATTCAGAAGTCAAAATCTCAGATCCCTCAGGCGTGGGCAGTGGGGCCTTCCAGGACTGGGGTGATTCAGCAAAGGCTGTTTTTCCACCTTGGGGAGGCGGGGGAGGGTGGGGAGGGACTTGGAGCCAAGCCTGCAAATCAAAGCTCAAAGTCCACTGCCTCCCAGAAGCCCGCCAAGATTATTAAGCCAGCCAAGACATTACCCCCACTTTGCAGACAAGTACACGGAGACACAGAGTGGTTAAGTAATTTACCTAAGGTCACACAGCTAATGAACTGATTTGACAGTTCAGGCTGCTACCAGAAGCTCTTCCTTGTGGCAGGAACCTTTCCTCCTGAAGAGGTGTTCTGTGGTTTTGTCTGTGTTCAAAAGACAGTCCAAACTCCAGCCTGAAAGGCCAGGCTTCCAGCTGGGTGGTGTCGTGCAGCAGAAAAAAACGGTTGACCTGGAGCCAGGCCAACCTGGGATCAAATGCTAGCCCTGCCACCTACTTCCAGCTGTGTGTCCGCAGGCAATTTGCAAGCCTCCCGTGCCCCGCATTCCTCATGTATAGAATGGGATGCATTCGCTAAATGCGTATTTATTGAACATCTACTATGTGCCGGGCCCCATTCAAGGCACTTGGGATCGAGTAGGGAGCAAAACAGAAAAAACTGCTTCCCTCATGGAGCTGAAAACCTGCCACGGCGGGCGGGTGCGTAACGAGCAAATAAACAAAATAGCATCTGCTTGTGTCAGGGACTAAAAGAAAACAGGAGAAGGCCCAGATCAAGCAGAGTGGTCAGGGAGGACCTCCTGGAGGAGGCGATAATGAACCGAAACAGGAGACAGCCAGGCGACGGCGCCCAGGAAGCAGCAATGAGCAAAGAAGGAACAGCAACTCCTGCAAAAGGAACAGCAAGTGTAAAGGCTGGAACATCAGAGGAGACCCAGAGCATGTAGGAAAACGCCTGGCACACAGCAGATGCCCCATAAAGAGCAGCTATTGGTGTGATTGCTCTAAGACCTCAAGCTCCTTGCGCCTTGCTTTCTTCTTCTGGAAAATTGGGTACTGTGCAGGTTCAGGGGACGCCCGGGTCTCCTCCGCAAATATGAATGCATTTAAAGTCACGCTCGTTCCATTGCTTTTCCTCCCATTTTGCAGGTGGGGAAACTGACCCTCCCAACACCCCACAGACCGTAAATGGGAACATGAGGATGTGAACCTGAGTCCTATAATCCCAAACCCTCTGCCCCTGCCGGCTTTCTGTGGTCTCACTGCACACAGAGCACTCGCTACGTCTCCTCATCCCACCCCAAGACAGCGCTCACTGCTAAAACGTCTCTTCTTGGGATGAACTGAGGTCTGTGCCTGGTTGGTCCACCTCTGCCCTTTGGGGCCGCTCAGGATAGCCCTCTCCCCTCTTCGCTAGCTCAGCCTGAAATGTGAAGCAGTCTGGTGGGTTAGAAAGAACAGCCATGGCCCAGGAAGCACCTCCTAGGCCCCAGGCCCTGTGCACTAACTTTATTCCCTGCCTGAGGTGAAGTAGGCATTCTTATCATCCCCATTGTACAGATGAAGAAACTGAGGCCTAGAAATGGCAAAGAAATGTGCCCATGGCTACCCACCTAGAAACTAGCAGAGTCAGGATCTGAACCAGATCTTTGTCACTCAAAAGACAGCCATCCATCACTCCCCAAGGCCCTCAAATGCCCCTCTTTGGGCATCCTTTCAGTCCTTGCCTGGCCTGGCCCCTGGTGGTGTCAAGGAGGTTGAAGGGACTGACTTTCCCTGAATCTGTTACTCCCAAGGCACCCCCACGCTGTGTGCTGTGAAGAAAGCCAGAGGGAGGGGGCTCAGGCATGAGCGAGGGGACAAGGCCCACTGGGCTAAAGCGCACACACAGGGCCCCGGAGCAAGCAGGGGGGGAACATGGGACAGCACCCAGGCACACCTGGGCCCATCCTGGCTCCGCCACCAGGGTGCTGCGTGACCATCACGAGGCCCCCCTCTCCTGCCCCGCTTCCTGCTACCACGAGGTCAGCCCAACACCTCACCACTCGAGGGTCAGGGGGAAAGGGCACACACATGAAGGCAGGTCTCTGATGAGAAGGCACTGCTATCCCCACCCCCCAGGGCATGCCAGAAAATCATTTCAAATTCCGTTTCAAAAGGAATGTTGATAGTGGCGATCACTTACTGAGAGTCTGTTAAGTGCGAGGAACCACACCAGGGGCATCACATACTTTATCCCAAGTGACAGCAACCTCGAGAGGCATGTACATCTCCATTTCACATATGGGGAAACTGAGGCACGGGGTTTTACAGCTGTACGTGCTAGAGCCAGATGACTCTGAATGGGAGGGTAGCAGAGGCTCCCGGGGGAAGATGAGGCCTGGTGAGCTGGACATTTGGGGAGGCAGGAGCCCCAGGGTCAAATCCCAGCCCCAGCGTGTGCCCACTGCGTGACCTCAGGCAAGTCGCCTCCCCTATGATACCTCAAAGGCAGGCACAACAAGTGTGAAGGATGGGAAGGCAGTCCTCTGGGGGCAGGATGGAGGATGCATCCAGATGGGGACTTGTACGTTCAAAGGCCCAGAGGAGGGAGGGCTCCAGGAGGCAGAGGGAGGAGAAGTTGGCCACAGAAGTGAGAGCGAGAAGTGAGAGGAAAGGACAGACAGAGGGGACCTTGGGAGGAGGGACACTGGTGGTGCAACAGGGTCCAGTCTGGCCACAGGACAGGCAGGATGAGCACTGGATGTGGGGATACAACTCAGACCACCCACTGTGCCCCACTTCAGCCCACGTCAGCCTGTGTCCACCACACCACGGCACGGCAGCAGCTCCTACCCTGTCACACCCCCACTGTCCTCCTGGAGCCCCCATCACCCCTCCCATCCCCGCACAAGCCCCTCCAGAGCCCCAGCCCCAGCCCTTCCCTGAGGACCTCAACACCTCAGCAGCCACAGCCCCCCACGTGGGGACCATCACAGCTTAGAGACGCATCTCCCTCTCCTTAGCAACCGCCAACACCCAGGCCAGCCTGCAAGCCTCCTCCCCGGTCTCCTCCTCTCTCCATGGAGACCACATTGCCACAGAGGCGGGTCCCTCTCCACGTCACTCAGCAACCGACAGGACAACAGCTCCCTCCACGTGGCCACCACCAACACAGCCTCAGTGACAGCGACAGCCTCAGCCTCTCCTCTCGGGGCAGCCGCCAGCCCCAGCCAGGACAGAAGGGCTCCTGCAGGCCTGCCCGCCGGCCCTGGCCCATTAGTGGAAGCCTGCTCTCCCTGCCGCCTCAACACACAAGCCACTGGATCAGGCCAGGTACTGATTCCGCCCAGCGTTTCCCCTGCTCACTCCCAGCCCCTCAGGCTGCCCTTCTCTACAACAGAAAGGCCCCACCTGAGTGAGAAGAGGCCATGTTCTCCCAGGCCGGCCCAGGAAGCCAGCCCCTCACCCCCTCCAGGTGCACAGATGCCCCAGCTGGCTGGGCTGCAGGCAGGCCTGCTCAGCGTCTCAGCTGGGAGAAGAGGCAGGAGTGGGGGGGTGTCTGAGCCAGCAGCCAGCAGCGGCTTCCTCCCCAGCCTCCCAGTGGACCAGTCCCAGCCCCCAGAAGGCCTGCCACTCTACCAGCTGCCTCATGGGCCCTGTGGAAGGGAAGCTGAGGAGGGGCGGGTTGGGGTGCCCGCAGCTGGGGGCAGGGCTGGGCAAGGCAGGAAGGGACAAACAGTGGGCAGAGGCTGGCCCACATCACGGGTTGGCAAGGCCAGGTCATGTGAGCCGGGCTCACCTCCATCCACACTCACACGCTCGGGAAGGACCTTGTCCTTACCAGCCGTCTGCGGGCAGAGGGGGCCCCTGTGGCCAGCAAGGCTCTGTTCCTGGCCTGGTCTCAGGGCGGTCCCCGCAGCAGCAGTGGTGGCAGCAGCGGTGGCAGCGGGTCTCAGGTCCTGGCCCAGCTCAGGCAGCAGCAGCTCCTCACCCAAGTCCTCTCCTGTGGAGGCGAAGGGAGAGGGAGGGGGAGGGAGAGGAGAGGCGGGGAGAGGGAGAGGGAGGGGACAGCAGGAGGGAGGGAGGGAGGAGGGAAAAATGCTGAAGTCTTGAAGGGTACACTCACTTCTTTCTTAGGTTTCCCATGGCAACCGAATATACCACAAATGAATATCAGTGTGAGAGAGAGGGAGGAGAAAGAGGGAGGGAATGGAGGGAGATGGAGGCAGAGATAGAGAGAGATCGAGGCAGGAGATGAGGAGATGGGGGCAGGGAGATGGAGAAGAAGGATGGGGCAAGAGAGATGGAGGGGAAGGGCCTCCAGGCCCAGATGGAGAGCTGGGGGCTCCCCACCAACCCCATTGGATTCAGAGGCACGGGAGGGGCCAGAGGCCACAGGACTTCTTTCAATCCCGCCATGGCCTCTTGGGCAAGAGGAGCAAGCAACAGATGGATAGAGGTTCTGAGAGCCACAGGGCCCTCACACACACACACACCCCACCCTCTCCACCCCATGTCCTTCACTGCCTGCTGGGCCCCAAGTCATAGTCCCAGTCCCAACCTCACTCAGTCATGGACACACACCCAGGTGGGAACGGCCACCCACACTGCCCTGACGCCCACACACAGCCTTCCCCTTCTCATGCCCAACCACGCCACCCTTCTGCTGGTCACCCCAACAGCAACACGGCCCACTCCCCTCTGCTACAGGGAACAGGCACCCTCTCCTAGCGCACATCTCTGATTCAGAACTCTGCAAGGCCCTGCACCCCCTCCCCGCGTGCCCACAGCCTGTGCCCCACTTCCCACCATATGTGCTCACACACCCTAAGAGCAACATACCTGCTCGACCTCCACCTGCACAGGCTCACTCGCAGACAGACGTGCCTGGCGGGACCGTCCCTCCATCTGTGCACGCACGTGCACACCACGCACTCACCCCCTCCCCTTGGAGGCCCCCCTCTCGGTCTGGCCCTGCACCCCCACCAGCCCAGATGGTCCTCCCGGTCCTCCCCATCAGGCAGACGCTCACACCTGGGCCCCTTGACATAGCCATTCCCAAACAAATGGAGGCCCACCGGAGCTGGCAGCCAGCAGCACAGCACAGAAACACAGGCCCCCTGTGCTGTCTCAACTCCGTTACAACTACCCAGAGGCGAAAAAAAAAAAAAAAGCAGCAGGTTTGCTCCAGGAAGGGCTCCCGGGCCCAGGAGGGTCACTGCTCCCCATTCTGCACCAGCTGCAAGGCTCACACTTGTCCCTGAGCCCAGTGGCCAGCAGGGACAGGACAGCACCCCAAGTCGCACGCATACCCTCACACACAACCTGCACCCACAGGACACCAGGACAGCAACCAACACACCACACTTTCACACTCCCTCAGACACACGTGGGTACACAGCCCCCGATTCACTGTACACAGCTGCCCGCAGAAGGGGCCCACCTCAACACACAGGTGCTCCTACATGCCTGGAACATGCACAGACACACGGTAACACATGGAAACAAAGTGGACCACCCCCCCACACACAGCTTTCACCATAGACACCCACACAAACCTGCCCGTGGGCACAGGGGTCCCCTACACAGCTCAGGGGTCAACACATCCAGGCCCCAGACATGCCCCCTCACATGGTGACCTACTCCCCGCCCTCCAGCACGCACGTGGGCACACCTGCACACCGCACAGTCCTCCCCGGTCAGTTCCCAGCGGCGTCCCCCCCGCCCCCCCATCCCGTCCACACCCACCTGACACACACATCCTCGCCAGCAGCTCCGCGGGCCCTCGCCGCGATCGCCCCCTGTCCGCGGGCAGGCCAGGACCCGCCAGTCCCCCGCCCCGCGCCCGCGGGTTTACGATCCCGCGCACCGCGCCGAGCCCAGAGGCCGTGAAATTGGCTGCGAGCGTCAGGGGATGCGGCTGCAAATTCTAAGCACAGGGAAGGCAGGCGGAAACCCGCCGGCTGGCCGCGCGCGGGCGGGGGCCCCGCAGAGCCGCGGGCAGCTGGGACTGTGAGCCCGCGCGGGCGGGGGGCGGGGGGCGGGCGCCCCCGGAAGGGGCTCGGTGCGCGCTCCGGCCCCGCTCCCGCCGCGCCCCTGCCCGCCCCCGCAGCTCCCGCCCAGCCGGCCCGCCTGCCCTCCTCCGGCCCAGCCGCCGTGCCCAAGCCCGGCCCGGGACTGCGCCTAGGTGCCCCGCTGGCCCAGCCCGGGACGCCTACCGGAGACGAGCACAGCACATCCTGCTGCCCTCCAGACCCAGACAGGCCTCGGCCAGAGCTAGGCGACTCTGCGTCGCCTCCTCCAGGACGCCTTCCCGGCTTTCCGGCCTCCTCCCCGATTCTTTGCTCCCCACCACTTCCCTCCTCTGGCCTCTGCTCACACGCACAGCCGCAGGCTCAGCAACACCCGCGGCCTCGCACCAAAGAAAGGGAGCGGGAGGGCATCGCTCTGTCCAAAGATGCGAGACGCTGGGTTCCCCCATCCCCACCGCACTTCATGCCTTTACCGGCTGCGCGGCCTTGAACCCGTGACCACAGACTCTGCCTTGGTTTCTGATCGATGCAACAGGAATGATGCAGAGGATGGTTCTGAGAATTGAATGAGGGGCTCTAGACCAGCAGCCAGTGAACCGGGAAGATTATTCGTCAGTATACGTCAGTATCAGCCTCCTTCTTGCTGCTGTGTCACCCCAGGCAAGGCGCCTCACTTCTCTGAGCTCAGGCTCCTCTGGAAAATGAGGAGGTGTGTGGGAGGAGTCCAGGAGATGGCTGGGAATACATAGCAGCCTCTTCAGCTGCCAACTGGGTGCATTAATCTGGAAACGCATTTAAAACGCAGGTTCTCGGGCCCTGCATTGACCCTACTGAATCAAAGTCTCAGCAGGCAGGGCCCAAGAACCTGCATTTAACAAACACCCAGAGACTCGGCGCTCCCTGACGAAAAGGATAATGCTTCATTTCTTAGTTCCGAGTGTATGGTCTTCTATGGCTGATCCCCAAACTACATCCCAGCCTCGTCTTCCCAAAATCCACGTCAGGCTTCCGGACCTCCAGACCTCAGCTCCCGTGTTCTCTGCCCCTGGCCTGCCCCCGCCATTGGCCCCGGGCCTCTCTCACAGCCCTCCAGCCAAAATTAAACCAGATAATAGAGTGTTTCGCTGTGTGCCTGGCAAATAGCAGGTGTGTGATCACGGGAGACCTGCAAAGCCCTGAGCAGAAGTGGTTCCAACCAAACAAGGCTGGCTCAGCACGCGGCCTCCAGCCTGCAGCACCAGCCCCACCTCAGTGGGGTCACAGACAACAGGGAACCGCCGTCAAGCGAGCCTCACTGTGTACAGGCCCCACGCTGGGCGCGTGACAAGAGTCCCACATGTCTCGTCTCTCCTCCAGGACAGGCGCTCATCCCTGCAAGTCCTGCCTGAGCCCCCAGCACAGAAGCTACCCCTGGGGGAGACGTGCTCCTAAGGGTGTGAACGTCAGCCTGTAGGTAAAAGGAAGTTGTTCAACAAATGCTGTTTGAGTCTCTACCTGTATGGAGCCGAGAGACAGACAGGAAATGGCTCAACAAGCAGAGCCAGCCCCTCCCCCTTTGCCATGAGAAGGTCAAGGAAAGGAGGGGGGAGGGCATGCCAACCCCACAGCCTCTATAGTCCCAAGATCCAGGGAGAATTGTGGGAGGAGAGAGATGATAGAAATAAGCCAAAGAGGGAAACAGTCAGGCCTGAGTCTTGGGGTTGGGCCCAGAGCAGCCCTTGGAAATTGCTCCCCACGCCCCCACTGAGAGAAGTGACACACACAGAGTCACACATACAACGACGTACCCTGTCTCCCCCTCCAACCCCTTCTGCACATTCAGCTGGGGGGTAGGCGGCTCCTAGGCCCTCCCTCCTCAAGCCTCCTCAGGCCCCCAGCCCTGCTCCAGGAAACAGGTCCTATGCATTTCGGGGGGGGGGGGGGGGAGTGAAGGCTGAAAATAAGGGAAGGAAACATCGCGCTCGCGCACACACACACACACACACACACACACAGCCCAAGACCCACTCCAGGGAACCAGGAATGAATCTAGGAGACAGATGGGAAGGGGGCGGCAACTCATCTACTTGACACCTACTATGTGCCAGACACAATGCTACACACTTGGTATTCTCTTACATAAGCGACATACAGGAGTTAGGAATTCGGTACCGTGATCCCCACTTTACATTGAGGAAGCAGGCCCTGTGGAAGTGGAAGTGAACTTACTTGCCCAGGACATACCTCCAGGAGGAAATAAGGCAGAACTTGGACCCTGAGCCCCTGCCCTTTCCAGGAGGGAGACGGGGAGAGTGTGGCGGAGTGGTCTCACAGCCACTGCTGAGACCGCAAGAGACTCAGGGCCTGGAGAAGCTGGTGATCCTGAAGCAGCGTTCCCGCCACCCCCTAGGGGAGCCCCACAGAGTGCCCACTGTGCGCCCCAGCTGTGCAGGTGCTGTGGGACAAGGGAGCAGGCTGCCGGACTGTCACAGGTCACTGTGGTGGGAGGGGCGAGGAAGGAACAGGGAGAGGGCCGAGACCGTGGACGCACGCATGCCTCGTCTGGAACCCCTCTGTTTCTGGTCTGCGCAATGAGGACTAAGATGAGCCGCTCAGAAAGCTTGGGGGATCCCCTGCCACTTACAGAGGGCTTCACACCGGGCCTGGCTCGCAGACTCAATGAATATTAGCTAATATCTTCATTGTTATCATCACTGTAATTATTGCCATCAGCAGCATCGAGCAGCCAGCCTGCTGCCTCTGCACCCCAGGTGTCAGCTTGCCCAGGTGGCTCTCCGGAGCCTCCCTGGGGACGGTCTGCAGAGCTGAGGGGGAAGGGAGGAGGAGGAAGATCTATTATTCCACCCCCCCAAAGACACATCCCCAGTAATAGGGGTGGTGCCTCCGCCCCAGGTGCTAATTGAGCGGGAAGAAGGTTAATTTAATAGGGGATGGGCTGGGCAGCAGGAGGCAGAGGATTGGGTTAACCTTCTGGACTATTAAGGCTACCCCTTGCTAAGGAGGCTGGGCTTCGAGGCAATCCTGCTTCCTGGCTGCCTGCTCTGTACAGCACTCCATCGCAGCACATTGGGGAAAGGGGGGAGGGGGCGGAGGGAGGGCCTGGGCCCAGGGCCACTGTAGCTGCAGTGGGTGAGGGTAACCACGAAGTGTGTCACCCTGGCCCTGCACGTGGTGCCACATTCTCACACTCACTCATCCAACCTGCAAGGCAAGCAGCGTGGCCCTGCACAGTCAGGAGAGGTGGCCCCCTTGTCACACACGGGACAAAGCAGAGGTGTCACTGGAACCAGTTCTGCAGACCTCGGAACTGGTAGCCCCTCACACTGCTGTCCAGTGGCCCCCAATGACCACCTCAGGCCGACTCCACTACAGAAGGCTTGAGAGCTGGGTGCACCCACTTCTGTCGCCCTGACTCTCTCTGAGTGCTGTGACGTGGGAGAACAAGCAAGCGCTGCACTGGGAGTCAAGGGCAGCCTCTCCCCTGGGCCCCTCACCCGGGCACCTCTCGCCCCCACCCCCACTTCACATAGCTCCCTGTCCCTCCAGAAAGTGAGAGTGCCCTGCTGGGAATGACCTGCCAATCAAATGGGTCTCCCTGCACCCACAGAGTGAAGCAGGGGTGGGGGGATCTCCCTAAGGAATGTATCAGCGACAGCTTGCTTTAACCTCCAGACCTCAGTTTGCTCATCTGTCAAATGTCCGCATCATAGCAGCCAGCTGCCAGCCTCACTACTGTGAGGATCCAGGAGAGAAAAGAAAGCTCTTTACAAAGTTGGACTCAAAACTGGGGAGTGGGGGCGAGAGGAGAGGGCAGCTGTTCTGGACTGGGGATGGGATGCAGGGATGGAACTCACACAGACAGAACCCCATACATGCCAGGTGCCCGGCCCAGAGGCCCACTGCCTCCTGGAGTCCCCCCAGGTAACAGGGGAGGGGCTGAGGCTCAGAGAGGGGGCAGGAATGCCTAAAGCACAGAACACAGAGTGAAGACATGGGATCAGAACCAAAAGTCTCTGCTGTGGCCACTTTCTGCTGTCACATGCGCTTACACACACACACACATACACACACACCCCACACACACACACACAAACACTCACTCGTACACATGCGCCCAAGGGTCTGTGCAACCTGGCTGACGAGGCCCAGAACAGGCCCTGGTGGGGGCGCAGACATGGGAACGGAAGAGGAGACACCCTTATAGGGGGCAGAGGCGATGCACTATTAGGGGACAGGAAAGGAAAGGGGTCCCACAAGCACTCAGGAAATGAGGCCTCTTGGGGGGGACCACTCACTCTAAAGCTCCCCTCCACCCCCTCACAACACAGGGGACAGGCCCACACTCAGCCACTCACACAGTGACACCTCCCACTGACATCACATACTCCGGCTGGTAGGGGTGACCCCTCACACTGCTGTCCCAGTGACGTCACTGGCAACCTGGAGCTGATGTCGCAACCAGAGGTTCTCACTGACGTCACACACACACACACACTTCTCCCTGGTGCCCCCCTTCGATTCCTCCTCTTTCTTCCTGCCCAGGTCCAATGCCCCGAGGTCCCCACCCACATACACAGCTCCAGGGCACACAGCTCACTCAGCACACAGGACAGGCATTTACAGACAACACCTGTGTGCGTGTGTGCTTGTGTGTTTGTTCCTCTCACAGGACACACATTCACACACATGTGCAAGCCCTCCTGCCCTGCTGATGGCCAGGACACATGTCCCACAGGTGCCCACAGGCACAGGCCACGGGAACAGGTGTGGGAGCCGGGCACACACACATTATACATGATTCAGCTCCCAGGTGAAAACGTCCCTCGGTCACTAAGGCAGGCGGCCTGGGGCCTGCGGCCTCCATGACATTCC